TATATACTAAAATGCATCAATAACGTAACATAGATTTAGTATGTGTTGTAGATCTATCAAAAAAGCTACCGTAGATCGTCCGAGATCGATAAAAGATTCGATCGAAGGAGCAAACCCCTATTATAGCCTTTTCAAAAATGGGTATTCTCGAAAAAATTGCAGAAATTGAAAAAGAAATATCTAGAACACAGAAAAATAAAGGTTGTTACGTTAAATTTATAATGACACTTAGTAAGTGATGCAAAATTAACGTGTTACAATTATGATTAGCAACGGAGTATCACCTTGGTTTACTGAAGGCAAAACTAGCAAAGTACAGAGTACAACTTTTAGAGCCTTCAAAGTCTGGTGGGGCAAAGGTATAAAGCGTTCTAATTTAATTGTTGGATCCAAGGAGTGAAATATTTATTTAGTGTATATATTTAGGGTGAGGGTTTTGATGTTATGAAATCTGGTGATGCAAGAGTTGCATTGATTGGATTTCCTTCAGTGGGTAAATCAACATTATTAAATAAACTTACAAAGACTCATTCTGAGGCTGGCGCGTATGAATTTACTACATTAACCTGTATACCTGGTATTTATAATGTCTTATATTCATCACAAGAAATTGAGATATTTGAAAGTGACCATAGTCCGTTTATTTTTAAAGGAAAAATCGAATATAATGGAGCAAATATTCAATTATTGGATTTGCCTGGTATTATTGAAGGAGCTGCTCAAGGTAAATACTTTTTTTTCTTTCTTTGGATACTGAATATCATTCTTAAACATATTTCATTTGTACGATAGGTAAAGGAAGAGGAAGGCAGGTTATTTCTGTCGCGAGAACAGCAGACTTAATTGTAATGATGCTAGACGCAACCAAAAGTAATCAACAACGGTAATGCAATAATAAGTTATTCCTATGACGCGCTATTCTCTGTTTTGAGCAATGTTCGATTTGTAACGGCCGATAAATTTACTAATAGTATATTATTAGAACGTGAATTGGAGATCGTTGGGATTCGATTGAATACGGAAAGACCTAACATATACTTTAAGGTAGAAATGTGTCGTCTTTTATCATAGTGTTCCAGATCGTGCTTATTCATGTAGTATATCTAGGTTAAGAAAGGCGGTGGAATCAGCTTCAACGCTACCGTTAAATTGACATATTTGAATGAAAAGATGGTGTATAATATTTTGCACGACTACAGTATCCTTCAATTATATATAGTAAAGAAATTAGATCATTTATGACATGATATTATATATTATTTTTATTAATTTTTTTATTTATTTTTGAATAAGAAATTTTCAATGCTGAAGTACTAGTTCGTGAAGATGTTACTGTTGATGAATTTATTGATGTTGTGTTGGGTAACCGTAAATACATCAAATGCCTATATGTAAGTTTGTTCCTTATTTACGAATGCAAAAATATACGTATATTAATCTTTACGTTTTTAATCTATTCATTATTTCCCAGTGCTATAATAAAATCGACTCAATAACTTTGGAAGAATTGGACCGTTTGGCACGTGAACCAAATACTGTTGTTATTAGGTAACCAATATAATTTATTTTAAGAATTGAACAATGCCAGAAAATTTGTTGATGAGCAATTATCTTAGTTGTGAGATGGATTTAAACCTTGATTATCTTGTTGAACAAATTTGGAAGTATCTTAATTTGTTAAGAATATATACCAAGAAAAGAGGAGGTACGTTTTTGGATATCCGTTTACTTATTTTTTAAAGTATACTACCAAATTATTAATTTTATATTTTAGAATATCCTGATTTTGAAGGTGGGCTTATCGTTAGAAAAGGTGCCACTGTTGAACATGTGGTAATTTTTGTTAATATCTTTTATATCATATCTAATTATATTTTAATAACTCAAATGCGTCATAATTATAGTGTCATGCTATCCATCGATCTTTAGTTGAAGAGTTTCGCTATGCTCTTGTCTGGGTAATTTTTTAATCTATGGTTTGGTTTAAAAAGCCATTTCTCTGTAATATTAAATTTTAACCATTAGGGCACATCCACAAAACATAACCCTCAAAGGGTTGGGTTGTCACATGTCATGGAGTATGAAGATGTTATTCAAGGTATTTTTGTTCGTAGTTACTTCTTTTTTTGAAATTAATTATTCTAATACAATTATCATGCATATTTTTAGTCGTGAAAAAGAAATAGACAATATTTGTTATTGATAGTTAGTATTGCCGCTGTAAATATTATTGAATTGTCGCCAGTGGATATTATTTTTTTACGACTAATATCAGTTATCTAATAGGAGATCGAAACAGATTAACTATTTATATACATACGTACGTATAATACTCGTATGTTTTTGATTTTATAATAAGTATGGTGTAACACCAATATTTCTTCGGATATTTTCAAAAGTTTGACACTTATACAATCTAGAATCTTGTTAAATATTTGAAAGTTATACGAATTATAAATGAAATTATATAATTAACTAGTTGTAATTCGTCGCTTCGTTACGTCTAATACAAATAGGAGGGTTGATTGTAGTATTCATGAACTTGATTAGCCTATTTTAAGTACTTAATCAACAAATTTTCATCATACTCGCCTAATTTAACGCGAACAAAATGAAATAGTAAATATATAGTTATGAACCTGAATATCTTATTTTAAACACAAGTTGATAGGTTTTCTTTATAGTCATGCACTAAATTAAAATGATTAAAATGAAATTAAATAATAAACATTCATGAATTTGAATCGGTTCCTTTAAACATTTAGATTAATAAAGGAGGTCTGACTGTAGTAAATAGTTAGTTATGAACTATAAAGTTTATTTATAGCCACAAACTAAATAAGCGAAAAAGATAAATAGTAAATAAGCATTAGTCTGAATAGCTTGTTTTAAACACTTAAATTAATATACTTAAAATAATGTGAATAGTAAATGGTTATAAACCCGAATAGCTTATTTTAAACAAATAAATACAGTCGATCTCGAAATTCTATAATAGGTATAAAAAATGCCATGAGTTCTTAAAAAACATAGTAATTTTCTAATAACGAACTTTTTTTCTTCCAGAATCTTTAGTTCGTTATAGAAAGTGCTAGCTGTATTAATGAACTTAATAATGAGTGTAAGAAAAAAAGAAAAACGAATATAGTAGAGTACTAACAGCTAATATTTGAACGCGTACGTACGTACGTACGTTACGTACCAGGTACGTAAGTAGGAGGATGGAAAGTTTTTTATATGGATAGATTAGATCGTCACGTTACACGATTGAAAACAATTAAAATAATTTGTAATTCGTAATGGTAAACAATGTTCACGGTTGATTTTTCCGTTTATAGAAAATAGTCTAGAAATTTCCATAGAATTTTACGTATGATTTTCATAAGCGAGACGGAACACAAAGATTTGCAGGTGTAACCTAAAGATAAGTCAGGGTTCAAACCAGATTCAGGAATAATACAATTTTTTATATACGTACGTACTGTACGTACGCGTACTTGTATGCTATATCATTAGATTCACTTGAACTTAACAAAGCCAAATAAATCTTATAATGACCATTGTTGTTAAATTTCGAGATAGTTTTAGCGTTCATTTGAATAAAAACTCTCAGACTGGGAAAAGTTCGTTATCATTTTTACTAATAATTAGTCATATGTCAGATTGTTTGATTGGTTCGGGCATGATCGGTTGATAAAGACACCATTAATATCACGCGGTTATGGGCTTGCACGATTTGATAACAACATATTCGGAAACAGATGTGCAATTGTTTGTTTTTTTTGTAACTCTATTTATGTACTACATTCCTAAATTTAAAACTTTTGTGTATACGGTATTCTCAATACGTCTAGGACGTTACATTACACTACGTGAATTTTTGGTCATCTGCCATCTGCGATTATCGGTCCCACAATTTCAAGTGTTCCTTACTAATAGGTACAAAAACGTATAAAAGGGTCTCAGATTTTACTACCTCTTCAGAGTTTCGAACTTAAATAATATATGTTTAAGTTATAGCTAAATAGTTATAAAACACGTATACCCTAATAATATAAAGACATCAAACAGTATCACCGAAATTATTGTAGTTGTGATCTTTGTTAAGAAAAGTTAAACGTACTTTGTACATAGAGTAGAAACGTTATTTCACGTTATTCACGTTATTTACGTTACGTGTTTGACATAGTATTATAATGCCTGTTCAAGTTGCTACTGGTGACAAATTTAGAGATAACTGTAAGTTATGATTTTGTAGTGCATATGTTATTTAATGCCCACTGTCACTGATAATTGTTTTTCTATTGTCACAGTCGGGATGTGCGTTTCTCAAGTTTAGAGGATTTATGAAGTGATAATTGTGAGAGTTATAATGATCATTACTAATAGGTACAAAAACGTATAAAAGGGTCTCAGATTTTACTACCTCTTCAGAGTTTCGAACTTAAATAATATATGTTTAAGTTATAGCTAAATAGTTATAAAACACGTATACCCTAATAATATAAAGACATCAAACAGTATCACCGAAATTATTGTAGTTGTGATCTTTGTTAAGAAAAGTTAAACGTACTTTGTACATAGAGTAGAAACGTTATTTCACGTTATTCACGTTATTTACGTTACGTGTTTGACATAGTATTATAATGCCTGTTCAAGTTGCTACTGGTGACAAATTTAGAGATAACTGTAAGTTATGATTTTGTAGTGCATATGTTATTTAATGCCCACTGTCACTGATAATTGTTTTTCTATTGTCACAGTCGGGATGTGCGTTTCTCAAGTTTAGAGGATTTATGAAGTGATAATTGTGAGAGTTATAATGATCATTACTAATAATTTTTTTTTTTTTTTTTTTGCTATTTCATCATACCCATTTATTTCATCGATTCTTTGTAAAATAGGTATCAGGATGCTTCATAAAGCACTCGTCGGAAATTCTCAATGCAGCGAAGGTAAGCTGTTATTTGAAGCCGACCGGCCGCGCGTTCATTTACGAATATCGCTTGCTTATGTGATACTCTTTATCATAACTACCGCTCCAATCTATAATCTAAAGAGGAAAATCAACGCTTAGCTGAAGTGGCAAGACGCGTTGAGCAATGTATGTATCGCGACTGTAACTTCCAAGTGAATAAACATTATAAGGATATTGCAAGAAGTAAGATCTGGAATTTGAAGGACTCGAAAAA